TCAAACTCTTTATGTAGTAAAATATAATACTTAAGTACCGTTATCCTGTTTTCCAGTGATCGTCCCAGTCACGTGATGTATGTAACAGATGAACGGGAATTCTCAAGTTTGCCTTCTTAATATTTCCGTGTCAATATGTCAATAAATATTTATTTTCTACAGCAACTATAGAACTACAGTCAATCAATCAATCAATCATTCAATCAATCAATCAATCAATTGAACTGAACAAGGTACTACATGTAGGATAATATATATATACTCCGTAACTCAGGATTCCACAAAGTTGTGAACAATTTTAAGTATGCATGCAATTACAAACGTTTCATTATTTCTTATTATTTGATATTAAAATTTTGATTCTCTTCCTGATAAAAACTGTTTTGGTGTGACACTTACATGTCTGTTGGATATCTAGGAAGTACAATATGTAGCTAAATGGGGATATATATGTGAGTTTTTATTATCTTATAAATTAGATTAAAACAAATTAATAATTTTGAATGCTAGCTAATTAAGGACGCTCCTTTTTATACAGTTCACATAAGAAATTGTAATTTCGTGGAGTTTTTTTTTTTATACAACTTATGTAGATCTATTTTGCCCTTTAAGTTAAACTTGAATAAACTGAAATCTACGGAGCAGTAAACAGTTTGCACTCAACTCGGAGATTCTGAATAGTTGACGATGTATATTAAACCAAAATAATGTAATTATAGTAAACATAATTCAATCAGATATCAATAGAAAATGCTGAATGTTCTAGAATGTTCTTCTTAATTGGTTTATATTCTTTAATTATTATTGAGTGATGGTTGACTGTCAACAACTGTTTATTAGGTTTATATTCTTTAATTATTATTGAGTGTTGACTGTCAACAACTGTTTAATTATCATTGAGTGATGGCTGACTGTCAACAACTATTTATGAGGTTTATAAACTAATTATTATTGAGTGGTGGTTGACAGTCAACAACTGCCTATCAGTTTAAACTTCCTCATTCTAGTAATCTTTTCAGGTACATGTAGGAGTTATCTTTCCTGCAGTCATGCTGATGGAGCACTGATGGAGCACTGTTAGGAATGTTAAGGCTAAGGTTTTAGTATTCGTCAGACCACGATACAAAAAAAAAAAAAAAAAAAAAAAAAAAAAAAAAAAAAAATGAATCGACATAATTTCGGAAGCTTGCATATATATAGGATCTCCCATGATTTGTATAGTTGGATATGATTTTTATCCAACGAGTTGTGTGTTTTTTATCCCCGAGCCTTGGCGAGGGGATAAAAACACACAACGAGTTGGATAAAAGTCATATCCAACTACAAATCATGGGAGATTCTTTTTATCCCATGTTTAATACTTCACAACCAATGTTTTACACTGTTTTATATAGGACTCCGCTTTATTTTACTTCATCGCGCTAACGCAAAAACCATTGTGACGTCACAACTGTGGATTATGAAAAAATTATCCAATGAGTCATATCCACGGGTTAAAGGGGTAAACATGGGATAAAACAATGTAATACGATTTGGTGTCGCCCTGCGCTACTCTTCAGGTTTTTGAATATGCTAGACGTTCACTCCCTACCATCGGCTCAAACATTTACCTTTGTCATTGGTTCGTGTATACATGTACCACAGTGATAAGCACAAAAATGGTGCATTTGTTTTAATTCATTTTAATGAAATGCCCGCGCTAATGTTTTGTCCTTAAATGTAGATAATTACAAAAAAGACCTAAAACTATTATTTTTAATTTGAAATAATCCTTGGAATATCATGTTTTTATTTGATGTCAAAAATCTTTGACGCAAGTCCATTGCAGAGGTGTCTGAGAGAAAAACAAAGAACAACTTTGCAAAGGAGATTGCTTAATATTCTCATGGAATTTGACCCTAACACAATAACTCCCGAGCCATGAATTAAACAAAGCTGAATCTACACGAACAAAGTTGAATCTGCACTAGGCATGGGGATGCTTGATAATCAATGTTTCTTCTCGTTCTGCTGCTATTGAAAGAAAAAAAGGTGTTTTTTTTCTCCCACAGTAAATCCCTGTGTAACGCTTTGATCCCCTATAGTAACCCTCCTTAACATTCGGGGATTTGACAAATTCGAATCAAGGTCACATAAGATACGTTATCTTGTCCAGTTGTTTTGAGAAATTTTCTAATATTTTCTAATGCCTCCCAATACTTGCATTTTCTTGATTATCCCCACTGGAAGATGGTATGATATCTGTTAAACAGATATTATTCAAGAATGGGCGAAATTGTTCCAGCGGATTTAAAGAGGTCAAATATATACTAAAAGTTAATGTGTGTGGGTGAGAGAGAGAGATGGGGGGGGGGGGTGAACAGATGGCGATTTAGACAGAAGATAAATGTAGAAAAGTTCACCTAAACCTGAGCTATAAAGTTGTAATAAAAAATACTTATAAGACACAACTCTACAAGGTAACTGGTACAAATCATGGAACACTATTTACATCCACTGAATATTTTTCTCCTTTATTTCTTAAGAAAACCATTGCCGTTTATCATTCAATATACACAACTAAGCATATCTCTTTTTATAGATTTCTTTAGCAGTGGATGTTCCATCAAAGAAACGTTCAATGATATACATATTGATAGTAACAAAATCCTACTTGGAATGATTATTTGTACAGGTATAAATACAAACAATAAAATGTCTTTGTTTGTTTGTCAGTACGGGAATGAATATTGCAGCTATTGCAGAAAAAAATATACATAACCCGCTTATGCGACTTCTGCATTTTTTTCTGATTGATTTATGAAATCCTACAGTCAGGATGAAGTTTTATAAAAGAGATTTGAGGTTTTTTTTTTTTTTTTTTTTTTTTTTTTTTTTTTTTTTTAAAGAAAATATGTTTTTTAAACAATGAAATGCTTTGTTTGGTTGTTAGTACGGGAATGAATATTTGCAGCTATTGCAGAAAAAACAAGATGTGTTTGTGAAACATTGATGCCCCCGTATGGCAGCTTATGGCGAAGGTTAAAGTTTCTTAAATGCAAGTCAAACTCCAGTCAAAAAATCAAAAATGTTGGTACCCAAAGAAAGGTCTTGTCTCAAGGAATATACATGTACCTGTGAAATATGAAAGCCCTAGTGAAAAGTTATGGCGAAGGTTAAGGTTTTTTCAAAGTAAGTAAAACGGCAAATCAAGGTCAAATGGTGCCCAAGGGAAGTTCTTGTCACAAGTGATACACATGATCGTGAAATGTGAAAGCCCTAGACCAAACGTTCAAATGTTATGGCCAAAGTTAAAAATTTTTAAAAGTAGGTCAAACCCCAAGGTCAAGGTCAATGCCAAAATTGTTGGTATCCAAAGGAAGGTCTTCTCACAAGGAATATACATGTGAAGTATAAAAGCCCTAACACCAACTGTTCAAAAGTTATGGCTAAGGTTAAAGTTTTTCAAAAGTAGGTCAAATTTCAAGGTCAAGGTCAAAGGTTCAAAGTTGTTGGTATCTAAAGGAAGGTCTTGTCACAGGGAATGCATATGTGAAATATGAAAACCGTAACACCAACTTTTCAAAAGTCATTGCCAAGGTTAAAGTTTTTTCAACAGTAGGTCAAACTCCAAGTTCAAGGTCAAAGGGTCAAAGATGTTGGTATCCAAAGAAAGGCTTTCTCACAAGGAATATACTTGTGAAGTTTGAAAGCCCAAGCTTCAAGTGTTCAAAAGTTATGGCCAAGGTTAAAGTCTCAAAAAATTTTGCAAAGTGGGTCAAACTCCAAGGTCAAGGTCAAAAGGTCAAATGTGATGGTACCCAAAGAAAGGTCTTGACACAAGGAATACACATGTGAAATATGAAAGCCATAGCTCCAACCAATCAAAAGTTATGGGCAAGGTTAAAGTTTTTTGCGGACAAACAGACAGACGGACGGACGGGGCAAAAACTACATGCCCCCGAATCTTCGATTACAGGGGCATAAAAAATACATAACCCGCTTGTAAACGCGGCTTATGCATTTTTCTTTATCACTTAGGGTCTTAAATTAGAAGCCTGGCCTACTGACACGTCTCCTCTGAATCATCGGAGGCCGCATTTTGTACGTAGAAGTGTTTAAATAGAATATATTGGGCGCTTTCTATACATCACTTAGGGTTGTCAGCTTTCATTTAATGTACTCACACAAAATTAAACCTAACATAAAAAGCTTGGATCCAAAAGGGTTTTGACTTTTAAAATTTGTTCATTCACCAACTCTCATAAATCACTATAAACAACTTTCACAAAACTGTACTTTAATACATGATACTGTGCCAAAAAAACAAAACAAAAAAAAAACAAACAAACAAACAAACAAACAAACAAAAAGAAAAACAAATCAAAAAAACACTTAAAAACTGAGGTCCCGTGGCATGTTAAAGATCCCTCACTGCTCAATGGCCCTGAGGTCTAATTTGAAGCCTTTCACCGGTATATTGTGACGTCTCTGTATGAATGAAAAATTCTCGAATGGGACGTAAAACAACATATATTCATTCAATCAATCATAATAAATAGTGCCCCGCCCTGATGAAATCACCGACCCATGGCCATAAAATTCACAATTTTGGAACCTTGTTCATTATAATTTTGTATTTGGTTTGTTTGCCTAAACCGAGGAGCAGAGAAATATTTTTAAAGAAAAAATGTACTTTCAGTATATAATCTATGGAACCCCACCTCTTTTTACAGCGGACATCTAAAAAAATGTGTTTGTTATCAAACTAGGCAAATGACAATACCACAGTTTTGACTGCTTTCGTCAGCTGTCCACTCTCAATATCTTGATTTCGCAAATAATTATTTTATTTAATGATTTTTCATCTCATCTAATAATTATTTCGGGTCTCGGTCCATCAGTGCTTCTAGTTTTACCGTCATTCAGAAAATCCGTCGGGATCGAACGTCTACAAATTAAGAGCCATCATCTGCTCATTCATAATATGCTAATAATTTATGATTATAAATTTCAGCCAATTCAAGCAGCTGATATATTTATGTAGGCATAGCCTATGCGGATTTAACAGTGTTATATCCTGATACTACTGTGGACATGACGACTTCGAATGTGAGTGATAAAGCATTAAAATATGAGTTCTGGAGTAGATCTTCTTTATCCATATCATTATCAGATGTAATTCGATTCAACATCGGCACTTTTATTTCTATTGTCATCATGCTCGTGTTTTCCTCGGGGATGTAACCGTACCAATCTTCTCATTGATTAAAATTTGAGACTTTGTTTTTTTTTTTTACCAGAATAAAGTTTAAGGATTTATATATAAATAATGAACATGATGAAAAGGAAAATAAAATTATTTGATAACTCTTAATCATATTAATCATGTTATGCCCTGTTCACACGGAGAGTTTAATTCGTAGTAAATTAATGCAAAGTAAAATGATGCGAATTAAACTAATGCGAATTAAATTGCGTTCACACGACAGCTAATGCGAAGTAAACTAATGCGAATTAAATTTTATTTCTACAACAAGGCTATTCAGTGAGGCTATTATGACGTCATTTACAAATCACGTCATATTGTGCAGAGCAGATACACATTTGACAAAATGTCATAGCGTCTGTGCACATTTTAGTGATTAACATAATTTTCCTTTGTTTTCCACTCAAAAATAGCACAAGTACCTATATTTGACCATCGACATGTTGTCTCTGACTAAATTCAGCCCTTATGCATGTGTCAAAATTTAATTCAAATTAGCTTAACTTAGCGTTCACATGGAGCTACTGCGAAGTAATTTAATGCGCAGTAAACTAATTCGAATTAAACTAATTCACATTAAATTCTCCGTGTAAACATGGTAAATGTGGATCAAATTTAATTCACAGTAACTTACGTTTAGTTCGAATTAAACTCTCCATGTGAACAGGGCATTAATTGATACTTACCAGCTATGGGTTAATTAATATTGATCATTGACCATGTTGACGGTGTCCTAACAGTGTTATATATGTCTACCATGTGTGATTGATACTATTATTATATGTTTACAGAATTTCTAGGCCCTGTGTTATGATGTCATACATGTATCAGGACAGTGTTACATGTCTACAATGTGTAAGTGATGCTATGTGTTACAATGTATATTTACAAATTACAGATTCTCGGCCCTGAGTTACAGAGTCGTATCAGAGCTGTTTTATATGGACAGTGTGTCGGGGATGCTCTAGGACTTCTGACCGAGTTCTTGACCAAACAAGAAGCTAAAGAAGTAAGTTGTATGTTATATGTTATATAGACATTGTGTTGGGGATGCCTTAGGACTTCTGACAGAGTTCTTGATCAAGCAAGAGGCAAAAGAGGTAAGCCACATGTTATATGTTATATGAACAATGTGTGGGGTATATGCTTTAGGACCTCCTGATGGAGTTCTTGACCAAACCATGTTATGTTTTATTGGCCTTTATATAATTGTTGTCAAAGACAAATTAAGGCCACCATAATTTTACTTGTTTGGACATAAGGGGACCTGAAATTTTTATCAAGAAAGATATTTAAATTGCATGTAGTAGTGACGGGACATCAGTTAATTTTCGTAATTGATCATCGATTGGAATCGGTTACTGCTTCCAATGCGATTTAACGGATTATAATTGGATGTCATAGTATTGTATTTAAAAAGCAGACTATTGGAAGTATTTCATATAATTTCTTAAATATAAATATAAGATACAGGTAACTCTTGATGGCTCGAACTTCGATCTCTCGAAGTTCTTGATCGCTCGAAGTGAGTCTCCGGTCCCATATTTTTCCCCTATATAACAAAGCAAATTTACTCTTGATTTCTCGAACTCTTGATCTCTTGAAACCCTTGATACCTCGAAGTCAAAAAGCAGTCCGGCTATGCATATTCTATTATAATTTACCCTCGATACCTCGAAGTGGCTATGTGTATGGAAGATTATATAATTAGCACCTTTACCTGGACATTTAAATGGCCCCAGGCAGAAGACGCTGGTCTCGAGGAACGGGATGTTTATTCAGGTGACACTTATGCTGCAAGGTGATAATTGATTTATAATTAATCATATTTTGCCTATATGCTATTAAAATAATTATCATCGACTGTCTTACGATAATTTAAAGACCCAGTGTCTGTGAAAAGTAGTAATTGATTAAAAGATGAAACTTAAACGAAATATGAAAAAGCAGAAACAGCCTCAATGTCAGTATGACGACTATTATTGGACAAATACTTACAAAACTGCGTTCAGTGATCATGTTGGAAATAGTCAATGCTATGTACGACGCTGTAAAATGTCGTTTCATGTAACGAATGTGTAGTATGATGTCCGTATTACAAAGAATAAATAAATAATTATCATGAAATGACGATATACATTTTTTTGCTTTACTCAGTTTAATGAAATATTCATCTAAATTACGAAAAAATTTGTTGTTTTATTAAAATAAAAACACGTGTAAAATGTTAGCACTGCATGAAAATCATTACATCCAGTAGGACTAATTCTAAAACCTGTCAACAACCCGGAAAATTCCGGACTCTTGAAAACTCGAACTCTTGATCTCTCGAAGTTTTTCCTCCGTCCCGCGGACTTTGAGGTATCGAGAGTTACCTGTATATATATATATATATATATATATATATATATATATATATATATATATATATATACATATATATATATATATATATATATATATATATATATATATATATATATATATATATATATATATAATATATTGTTTTCTTTGTTGTTTTGATGCTTTTACGCTTTCTATGTATGCACCTTTTGGTTCTTAATCACCTCTGCTTTGTGCTAGTTGGCTTTGTAACACATAAGTATGGTGAATGGTGTGTTGCATGTCCATTATGACCCATTAACCAGGCACTGTTAGCATTAAAATAACCTATATCAGGTGCAGACACCATTTATTTCATTACGAAGAAATAAATTTTAAAACCGGTGGGAATGGATGATTCAGGAATGCATTTTATAAGAAGTACATTTCTGATGATCAATTATGAAAAATAATAATCAATCATCAAAATTGGTAGCATTTTTTCGCTGACAATTCTGTTGATATGTTCTCTGATTATTAGTACAACACTAACATGAAGGCTTGCTTTGAAGGAAATTAACTAACTGATTGATTTTTGATTTAAAAAAGCAAAAAAAAAAAAAGGTGTTTTCTAGCATACTTTTTATCATAAAGGTACATGTATGAATACTCAGGTTTGTAAATTAAGAATTATGCATAAATACATGTAACTATGATTAACCTAAATGTAATAGATCTATCATTCCACTAAAATCTATTAAAAATGAAAGGGCTGGAAACTGTAATTTATATTTTTGTTCTGGTTCCAGTATTTTGGGAAAGTGAAGGACAATCTGGAGTATAAACACAAGGGGCTGGTGGACAACCCTCACCAGAGCCGCTGGAAGGAGGGGGACTGGTCAGATGACTCAGACCAGATGATTATAATTCTGATGTCACTCACCGACAACAATGGAATGGTACATAGCCAATTATTTCAAAAAAAGATAAATAGTAAGAAAGCAAGCTTGTGCATTTGTACAGCCAACTCCTGCCATTAATTAACTATCCTAGTACTATGACTGGCCAAAATGCATATTTTTAGGCAATGAATACGTTTGCAGCATTTGATGTAGAACAAACTAGCTAGCCCATATTTTCTCTCTCTGACACAGTCAGCAGGTTGCAATGGTTGTCTACATGCTGAACACCCCTGCTGCATCATTTTTGCAAAATAATCCATTTCTATAATTCTTCTGCCTTGTAAAATGTCAGTACAGTCTGTGATATCTTTATTGATTTCTGTAGAACCACATGTAGATTCGTCCTCAAATATACCTGTATAATAATTATATTTTGCGTAAGATATACATTCCCCGATACACTGTTAATGCAGATTTATTATCATGTATGCTATACAATGTAAAAAGAGCAGTAAAACATTTGTTTTTTTTCTCCATATCTCTTCGCGGAATACCTTTATCGGAAGTTGATAAATATAAAATCATGAAATACACATAATATACAACAAATACCTGTAATTCATTGCTTGCATCGACTTCACTCATCAGAATTTCATTATTGTTGCAATCAGTAGATTCAGTGACACTTCTTTTCTTCTTGAATCAACCGTTCTTGAACCTTCTGATTGTTTTTCCCTCCATATTGTTGTTTTCAATAACAACCAATAGTTTTTCTACCTTCTTTCACTAAAGATTTCCATTTACATACTGAATTGCTTTAACCGGAAAAAAACCTGGAAAATCAGATAAAAACGATGAAAAATGTTGGAGAGTTATCTCGCTTCTCAGAGGGATATTACACCTTAAATGTCACTCGTTGAGTATATTTTTCCAAAAAGGTACATGTGTTAATGTCAAGGTCAGGGTATTGACTTAAGTCAAGTTTTACAGGTCAAGGTCACTTGGGCAATGAGAGAGACTCATATTGTGAAATCCTTCACCAGACGTAACTTTGGAACAGTGATAGAATTGAAATCAAAGTTGGGGATGATGTTGCTAATGAACTTGGGTGAATCTTTATTGATTTGATTCAATGACTAATTTCTAAAATGACAAAGCTCATATTGTGATTGATGGATTTGTAATTTAGTGAAGGAATGGGGCATCCAATTTTGTCAAAAGAAATCAACAACTCACTGTTGTTTATTTCTTTCCACAACTTAACCCTTAACATATATATATTACTGTTAGGGATTTGAAACTAAAATTTCTCATTTGGTAAGGTAAATATAAAGATCAAGGCATATATAATTCAAGTCAGGATACCTAGAATTTAAAAAAAAAAAAAAAAAAAAACCTTGTCATTATATGAAGTTTAAAATTTCTCTTTATCACGTTCATTAACATTAAAAATATTGTATCCCATTATTATTTAATTACAGTAACTGTTATTATTATCATTTATCATGCAATTTTTTTATTTATCCCACATCTAATGAATTTAGGTGTGTGTGTTTACTCTGCTAAAGTATTGCTCCAATGAACTTTTAGTTTGATTGCTGTTCATTATCATTATTATCTTCATATAACATCATGAAGAGAAATGTTTAAAACCTCTTGCCCCTGTGTTTGTTCAACAAGTTTGTGTTTAGGTGAATCATAAAGACATTGCTCGCCGTTTTCTGGAGTGGATGAAGAAGGGATTTCCCGAGTTGGGGGATTTTGTTGGAATGGGAATTGGAAAAACAACAGACCTTGTTCTACACCACAAAAGTTACCTAGATGACCCATACACGGTTTGTATATATATATATATATCAACTTGTACTTCATAAATATCAAAACTTTGGTCATTGCACATTTGTATATCAACTTGTACTTCATAAATATCAAAACTTTGGTCATTGCACATTTGTATATCAACTTGTACTTCAACAGATATCAAAATTTTGGTCATTGTACATTTGTATATCAACTTGTACTTCATAGATATCAAAACTTGGGTCATTGTACATTTGTATATCAACTTGTACTTCAATAGATATCAAAAGTTGGGTCATTGTTCATTTGTATATATCAACTTGTACTTCATAGATATCAAAACTTGGGTCATTGTACATTTGTATATCAACTTGTACATCATAGATATCAAAGGTTTGTTCAATTTATATCAACTAAAACCTTAAAGCGGGTATTTTTAGCAGGGTGCTAACTTTGGCTAATTTTAGTGGTCTTGTAGGAAGCCGCCAAAATTTTAATTGCCAAATTTGCGCTCTTCTTTATCACTACTGAATACAAGGAAAATCACTTCAATAAATTTGATTAGTCTATTGTATAAGCAATAAAACTTTCATCTGGTACATGCTTTACGAGGGGTGATCAAAAAGTTCGCGAACTATCTCTATATTTACAAAACCACAATTCAGATCGGAATGAAATTTGGCACACATATAGTCATACACATGTTCTATAAACAACAGATGTTAAATAATGTTTTGCTCCGTGTTTGTGACGTCACAATGTGAAAATGACGTCAATATGTAGGTCACTTATTACAAAAAATGGTTGACTCAGTCGTACTTGAGAAACGAACGACTGTAAAGTTTAACGTATATCTTGGAAATTCTTTTGCAGTAGAAGATGATAATTTGTACAAGGTTTATGAAGACAAAAGACTTACCAGACGTTCAATCATTAATTAGATTGATTGATTTATTGAATACAGGGAGATGGTTAAAAATGACATTTGTTGTGTTGCCCAGCGAAAGCAAGCCAGAGGAAAGATGTGTCCTTTGCTGAGCAATTTGTTATATAACACCGTCAAGTTACAATTAGAAAAATGGCTGAATATCTTAACAATAATATAATCATTAAATCCCTAAAATATCGTTTACTTTAGACTTTAAATATATGAGATATGATAAAAAGAATGTGCCCATACTTTATCCACGTTGGATAAACGACGCTCCCGAGACAGGGAACTCGGGTTGTGATGGGTCACCATGGTAATTGTGGGAAGATATATCCTTATCCGCCCATCCTATTGCCGAGATTTGGCCATTTCTGACAGATGGACTGTTCTTGTTATAAAAAATAACTTGCATGGTAAGAAATATAAGACTCGGAGATATCTTTTAGCTTCTTTGAACAGACTGCTACGGAGCATGTCACATGACTGCCTTAATCACGTGATTCGCGCATGTGCAGAACAATGGCAGATGTGCATTAAAATCGGAGAGGATAACTTTAAAAAATAATAAACACTGAAACCTCATTTTATGTCTGTGAAGGAAGTTATTCAATTAGTTCGTGAACTTTTTGATCACCCCTTGTATTTACTCAAACTTTCGTGTAAATCGGTATTCAAACGTACATTAAACATACTGAAACTTATCTAAAAACTGAATTTTGCAATGACACAGAACTCTGTGTCTGCTAAAAAAAGTTCCACCAAAATTATTGGCAAACCTTTGAGCAAGCAAAACAACAAATTTTACACCCACTAAAGAAACCTGCTATACGGTACTTCATACATGTAAATATCAAAATTTTGTTCATTGTATACCATTGCTCATATTTCATAGTTATCAACGCTTTGTTTCATTGAAGATCAACTCAAACATCATAGATACACATGTATATCAAAGTTCCATTCATTTCATGCAAAGTAAATAAGACAATAATTGGTGAGAATTGTGTAATTGTAAATAACATAACTAAGTGACAGTAGTGGTCTATTGCTATCTGTTCCTCTCATTTGCTGTCTTGTGCTTTGTCCATCCACAACGTCCAATGGCTTTAACTTTTGATCATTTTTTCAGCTTCTTCTTTGATGTGGCAGAATCAACTTCAGTCAGTTGAAATCAACTATGGATAAAGGAAAACAAAATTGAGAATTTTTTTGGCCCCAGTTTCCACCAGGGGCTTGAGATCTTTGTCCAAAATTATCACCATTTGAACAATTTCAAATGAAAAAATCTTTTGTACTCCTGGACTTTTAGCAGGCTAAAACTTTGCAGGATAACAGTTTAAGCTAGCCCTCAACCAAAATTGCAAAATACATATCCTGTGGATCCAGAATTTAGACATTCAAATGGGACTGAATTGGCAATACATCTACACATCAATTAAAAATTTTATTAAATTCACAAAAATCATCTTCCTTACATGTGGACATTAAACAGATTTTAAAAATGTGTCCCTTTCTGATCACATGATTAAAACATGATCACATGATTAGGACATGATCACATGATTAGCATTAGGACAAAATGGTTAAATTACATGATCAAGACATGATTACGACATGATCACATAATTAAGACATGATAACATGACTAGGACTTGATTAGTGCTTGATCACATGATTAGGACATGATTAGTACTTGATCACATGATTAGTACTTGATCACATGATTAGGACATGAACACATGATTAGGACATGGTCATATGATTTGCTCTGTATTTATCCTTCTGTTGTAGGCAGCTGAGAGTGTCTGGAGGGAGAGCCAGTGTAAGGTAGCCCCTAATGGAGCTGTGATGAGGACCAGTATCCTGGGAGTCCACAAATTTCACGACCTGGAACAGGTTGCCAGAAATGCCGCAGATGTGGCCAGAATCACTCACTATGATCCAAGGTTGGTTTGAAGTTAAGCTGAGTTGTGCCAGAGGCTTAGAAATGTAAAGCATCCATATCCTATTACATCAGAAATGATTTTAATTTATTAGAGCCAAACACTCTTTATAAAGTAATTGGTCAATTGCTTGCATGTCACAAATAAATAAGAGCATTTGGCTGGAATTACTAGTACAAAATGTCATTTTAAAAAGTTTTCATGGTAAAGGCAAGTAGCTAGGTTACTTAATATATTAATCAATATCTGTTACACGTGGAAAGAGAGAAATTATTTTGTGTACCATATCATAGTTGTTTTGCATCTGTGGGACCTTTTCACTGGATTTTTTTACAAAGAGATTACAGAAGCATAGTAAATGGTGCACACTCTGTATGCTCTACTGTATTGCAAAATATGCAGCACGTTTAACTCTTTAACAGTTCCAGGTGATGCTAGTATTAGCATGTCATTACCTAATGAGAGGTCACACTGTACAAAAATGGAAATAATCGAAGGAAAAAAATGCTACTACAGTCAAATCTTGTTTATCTCCAACTTGTGTGGGCCAAGAAAAAAACTGAAATATCCAAGGATTTGAGATACTGAGATAAAAAAAATGGTTGGGACTTTTGAGTTACTTTGACATATCTGCAGTTTTCCAGATATATTGATCTTTGATATACTCAAGTTAAACTGTATAATTATTTTTAAAACTCATTACAGGATCAATAAACACAAAGCAATCTATATCATTCTTTATAGATGCCAGGCCTCTGCCGTTGCTGTGTCGGTTGCTATAGCAATAATGTTACAGAAGAAAGAGAAGCACTTGGACAGAAGAGGACACTATGATGTCGGCTCCATCATTAAGGATAGCTACAACATGGCCGTCAGATACATTGATGATAAGGAGCAGGTATGCTTATGACCTTGACCTCTTTTTTTTTGCTCTACTGATCAGAGACCAGGAGAACTAGTACATTAGTAAGGTTTTTGTTGTCTGTCCATCTTTCTGTCTGAAACTACATAAACAATTTTTCAAAAGCTACTCTTCCTGCATTTCATTCATATTTCAAGAATACTTGGTACACAGATAGATTTTACAGTATGATAAATAATTCTGTTTATAGTTGGCTTGATTTCAATGATCAATGTTGCCATGGTTACAGAAAATATAAATTTTTGTAATTTTTTTTTCATGTGCTACTTCTAGTACTGTTTTGGTCTGATCTAAATATAGTAGATAAAATCAGGAATTTTAATTCTTTTTATTGGTGTTGCCATAGTTTCAAGTCCATATGCTTCTTCTCTCTTTGTTGTTTGGTACAAATGTCTCATCAGAGATGTTCTGCCTTAATTCTTATGTAGGTCATAAAATAATGTTATCTCAAAGAGGTACCTTAAACATTATAAGATAATCAGTGAAAGAGAGAAAAGTAAACAAAAAATTTTGATGTTCGGTGCTAGTGGGGCTTCTATATTTCATATGTATTACTTTTAACAAGACTTTCCCTTGGGTATTATCATTTTTAACCTTTTGACATTGACTTCAGACTTTAACATACTTTTGAAAAAATTATCCTTGGCTATAATAACTGTTGAACTGTTAAATAATTTAAATACGTATGTATTCTTTGTGAAAGATTTTTCCTTAACAATTATGACTTATGACTTTGAACTTGAGTTTGATCTACTTTTGAAAATTTTTGACATTTGGCTATAAATTTTGAATGGCTGGTGTAAGGAATTTTATATTTCACATGTATTTAACTTATGACATTTTTTTTTTGGTTACCTACCTTTTTTTTTACCTTTTGGTCTTGCTTTGGAGTTTAACTTGCATTTGAGACACCCTACCTATCTTACAGATAGGGGCATCAGTGTTTGTCAAATGTATTTTGTTTTTTCTTGATAGAAACAAGAGTTACTGACCTTTATGAAGTGTTCAGATATAAAACAACTAAAATTATCTGGACCAGAGATTGGTTACACGTTCAAGACTCTGGGCTCTGGTTTCTGGGCACTCAAGCAGAATGATTTCCGCAAAGCCATCACTAAGATTGTCATGCAGGTAAGTGAAATCCAAGCGATTTTACCTAGAGATTGGTCAATTTGCCTTGGAAAAAAAGGAATTATATTGAAAATTACACAACTCCTGAGGAATCAAAGCATACAGAGTTTGTGTATTCTTAAAAAAAATTCTTTACAAATATTAGTATGAGGACAAAGTAAGCTTCTTGGATATTGTAACACCCTGGGTTTCCTGGCTTAGAGAATTATCAAACCTATAAAATTATTTTATATTAAGGATGGTTGATACAAACAAAAATATGGATGCCAGGATTGGTATATATTTTTGGACCTATTTTGATTGTAAATGATCCCATTATTGTAAAATTTTGAATAAAAAATAAAAATCTATGCAGATTACTGTACGTGTACTTAAAAAAGTGGGCTTCATATTTTAGCGGCTTTGGCGTAGACATGATGTGCTAATTCATGATTACCACTAACAAATCATTTACAAATCCAATATACGGCACGGACGTGTAGCGCTAATTCATGACTACGCCAACAACTGCATATCCATTGATTGCGCTAAATTTTGAATACATCAAATTATATACACGTACAGTAACTTATTCATTTTACTTACATAAACATGACAAGTTGTTATTTTTAAGTTTTGATAAAAGTTTGTATCATCTGTCCTTAGACTAGAAATGAAGCATATTGATGTTTATAAGTAAGTCATTTCAAATTGTGAATTTCTTCACATAGGCCTAGGGATAAGGCTAATCTTAGCATATATTGAAAATACATAACTTCTTGAAAAATATCCCTATCTAGCTCACAAACTGACAGTAAGAATAATCATGCAAAACAGTAAGAGCCATTGGCCAAAGTTTTGAAATAGCTGTCTCCTTGAACCTAGCTTTTTTTTTTTGGGGGGGGGGGGGGGGGGGGGCTACATGGACCTTATTTTAATAATGATCTATTTTACCTAACTAGTCATTTACAAGTTTCTTCATTTTATCAACAACGGACAAACAATTTGCCCAGTGATAGAGAAAAATGAGTTATCTTTTGGCAAAAACAAAACATGTTATATACATTAAAAAGTGATATTCCACCTCTGTTACCTGGAGAAGGACACTAAATCTGAGGATTTGTGTGTCCTCTGTTTTAGGGAGGAGGTGTTTAGTCTGTCCTCTGTTTTAGGGTGGAGGTGTTTAGTCTGTCCTCTGTTTTAGGGAGGAGGTGTTTAGTGAGACCTCCGTTTTAGGGAGATGTTTAGTCTGTCCTCTGTTTCAGGGAGGTGGTGTTTAGTCTGTCCTCTGTTTTAGGGAGGAGATGTTTAGTCTGTCCTCTGTTTTAGGGAGGAGGTGTTTTGTCTGTCCTCTGTTTTAAGGGAGGAGGTGTTTAGTCTGTCCTCTGTTTTAGGGTGGAGATGTTTAGTCTGTCCTCTGTTTTAGGGTGGAGGTGTTTAGTCTGTTCTCTGTTTTAGGGAGGAGATGTTTAGTCTGTCCTCTGTTTTAGGTTGGAGGTGTTTAGTCTGTCCTCTGTTTTTGGGAGGAGGTGTTTAGTCAGTCCTCTGTTTAAGGGAGATGTTTAGTCTGTCCTCTGTTTTAAGGAGTGGATGTTTAGTGAGTCCTCTGTTTTAAGGGAGGAGGTGTTTAGTCTGTCCTCTATTTTAGGGAGGAGGTGTTTAGTCCGTTCTCTGGTTTAGGGAGAAGGTATTTAGTTTGTCCTCTTTTTAGGGAGGAGGTGTTTAGTCTGTCCTCTGTTTTAGGGAAGAGATGTCAAGTCTGTCCTCTGTTTTAGGGAGATGTTAAGTCTGTTCTCAGGTTTAGGGAGATGTTTAGTGTGTCCTCTGTTTGAGGGAGGAGATGTTTAGTGTGTCCTCTGTTTTAGGGAAGAGATGTTTAGTGTGCCCTCTGTTTTAGAATGATGTTATAATAAGTGTGTTCTCTGTTTTAGGGAGATGTTAAGTGTGTCCTCTGTGTTAGGGAGAGGATTTTTAGTCTGTCCTCTTTCTGAGGGAGGAGATGTTTAGTCTGTCCTCTGTTTTAGGGAGGGGATGTTTAGTTTGTCCTCTGTTTTAGGGAGATGTTTGGTTTGTCCTCTGTTTTAGGGAGATGTTTATTGTGTCCTCTGGTTTAGGGAGGAGATGTAAAGTCTGTCCTCTGTTTTAGGTAGGAGATGTTTAGTGTGTCCTCTGTTTTAGGGAGATGTTAAGTCTGTCCTCTGTTTTAGGAGGAGGTGTTTAGTCTGTCCTCTGTTACAGGGAGGTGGTGTTTAGACAGTCCTCTGTTTTAGGGAGGAGATGTTTAGTCTGTCCTCTGTTTTAGGGAGGTGGTGTTTAGTCTTTCCTCTGTTTTAAGGGAGGAGGTGTTTAGTCTGTCCTCTGTTTTAGGGTGGAGATGTTTAGTCTGTCCTCTGTTTTAGGGTGGAGGTGTTTAGTCTGTTCTCTGTTTTAGGGTGGAGATGTTTAGTCTGTCCCCTGTTTTAGGGAGGAGATGTTTAGTCTGTCCTCTGTTTTAGGGAGGAGATGTTTAGTCTGTCGTCTGTTTTAGGGTGGAGGTGTTTAGTCAGTCCTCTGTTTTAGGGAAGAGATGTTTAGTCTGTCCTCTGTTTAAGGGAGGAGGTGTTTAGTCAGTCCTCTGTTTTAAGGGAGGATGTGTTTAGTCTGTCCTCTGTTTTAGGGAAGAGGTGTTTAGTCTGTCCTCTGTTTTAGGGAGGAGATGTTAAGTCTGTACTCTGTATTAGGGAGGAGGTGTTTAGTCTGTCATCTGTTTTAGGGAGGAGGTGTTCAGTCGGTTATCTGTTTTAGTGAGGAGATGTTTAGTCTTTCCCTTGTTTTAAGGAGAAGATTTTTAGTCTGTCCTCTACTGTAGATTCCTAAATATATGCATGGAATAAATTATCGCGTAATTACGCGAGAAGCACCACTCGTGAAATAAAATTACTCGCTTTTATTTTTATGGGGCTTTAATGTATGTAAAATCTGTAGATAAATCACCCATTTGCAAATAATTATTATCGCAATTTGACGCCCTTGGGCCATTTCGCGAAAATAAGTACTCACATAAAATAAGGAATCTACAGTATTTGAGGGAGGAGTTGTTTAGTCTATCCTCTGTTTTCGGGAGAAGATTTTTAGTCTGTCCTCTATTTGAGGGAGGAGATATTTAGTCTGTCCTCTGTTTTAGGGAGGGGATGTTTAGTTTGTCCTCTGTTTTAGGGAAATGTTTAGTGTGTCCTCTGGTTTAGGGAGGAGATGTTTAGTTTGTCCTCTGTTTTAGGGAGGAGAAACTAAACAGTGTGTCCGCTGGTTTAGGGATGAGATGTTTTGTCTGTCCTCTGTTTTAGGGAGGTGTTTAGTCTGTCCTCTGTTTTATGGATGAATGTTTAGTCTGTCTTCTGTTTTATGGATGAATGTTTAGTCTGTCCTCTGTTTTAGGGAGATGTTTATTCTGTCCTCTCTTTTATGGAGGTGTTTAGCCTGTCCTCTGTTTACGGGAGAAGATTTTTAGTCTGTCCTCTGTTTAAGGGAGGAGCTGTTTAGTCTGTCCTCTGTTTTAGGGAAGAGTTGTGTAGTCTGTTCTCTGTTTTAGGGAGCAGGTGTTGAGTCTGTCCTCTGTTTTAGGGAGGAGATGCAGATACAAATGCCTCTGTAGCTGGAGCTCTGCTTGGGTGTAAGCTTGGATTAGAGGCCATTCCTCAGTCATGGAAGGAAAATCTTGTACATAAAGAGTGGCTAGACCAAAAAATTGACAGGTATAGATTTATCATGCCAGCCAACTCCAAACGAAAAAGGGGTGTAGGTGGTGGTGGGGGGAGGGAGGGGGATCTATACTATCACCAGTTCTGAGTCTCTATTTGTAAACATTTTTTGTCATGGGATTACAATTTTCTTTTAAATTATTCGATAAGGGTCTTTTGTTTAAATTTATAAATAACATAAATTACATCATAAGAACTTGAGGGCCTGGGATTTTTATATTATTTAGTCAAAGTAGAAAGAAAAAGATATGGCTTTATAGGTTTCATTAAACATAACTTACTATGTTCATAAAAGAAGTAAGAAGAGTTCAATTCTTGTCTAGATTTAAAATTGAAATGTAAAAGATAACAAACGGTGAACAATCTCATACACCCAGCAAAAAAATGAATCATGAATAGGGCACAAACATGGATCCCTTGAAATAACAGAGGTGGGATCAGGTGACTAGGAGGAGTAAGCATCTCCTGTCAACTGGTCACACCTGCTGTTAGCCCTTATGTATTGATCAAGCATAGTCAATAGTCAACTTAGCATTAAAAAATAGCCTAACAACTGGTTTGGAACCTGTGACTCAAAATATAAAACCAAGTAGCTTTAGAGTTATACTTGATACAAAGATATTTATTGAATAGCGGTGTTAGGCTGATTTTAAATCTGGCTTTGAAAGAGAAACCTATATAGAGCCTATACTTAAGGTGTTGCTTGACATGAGGGTAAGTCCAAGAGGATATTGGATACAAGTATGGTCAAGGTCATAAGTTTAAGAAGTGTAATTGCCTTAGTCATAGCTTTAAAGTGGAGAAACATAAGATTATATAAATACATAATATATAGACATATATAGATTAAATACCAAGCCCAAAGGCTTTGTGAGACCATAGGATGCACAATCAACATGCACCATCTGACATTTGGAAAAGATTAAGTTGCTGGGTTTGGAGAATACTCTTGCTGTCCATGGGTAATTTTGAAATGGAATAACTCTTGAGAAGTATATTTAGCCTGAGGGTTGAGTATGATCTTAAAATATGTCATGATCTGAACAAAATTTGAAAAGCAATATTTTGTACCTGGATATATAAAATATACATTATCTTGGTGTAAAGAGATTTTGAATTATTGACAGTAAGAGAGGTGTGTAAAGTCATACTTAGGTCAGAGATGTCTATGTTTATTAGATATATAAGTTAAAATTGTGTTCAAAATTAATTGAAGCAGAAAAGTGTAAGTGTTTTCATATATTTTACATATATTAAAACATAATCAATATAATTTCACAATTATTACAGGTACTTTTCCATGATCAATGAGGGCAATATTGAGACTGAGGAAAAATCAAGTTCTTAAATATAAAGTTCTTAAATAAATAGAATATTGGATTCAGTGTGATATTGGACATCAGTGTGATATTGGACATCAGTGTGATATTGGACATCAGTGCATTGGACATCAGTGCAGTACTGGTCATCAGTGCAATATTGGACATCAGTGCAATATTGAACATTAGTGCAATATAGGACACCAGTGCAATATTGGATATCTCGGTATTTGTTTTGGAGATTGAGACAGGAATGCTCAGCAAGATAAAGGTGATCATGTTCATCATTGGACTCTTTTTTTTTTCTTGAGCATGTGTTCAATTTACTGTAGATCACAAATTTTCAGCCACAGCTTATTTTCATGAAATATATTTTTTATTTTGTTATTTATAAGTGAGACTGAGTAAGACATAATTTTCACAGTTTTTGTTATTGTTGCATATAATCTTTGATAAAGATAAATGCAAGAATATTTTTTACGAGCAGAGGATTTCATGTAATCATGTGAAAATAAAGTTCTTGCAACTATAGTGTGATTTACAGTACAAATGCATTAAGAGGGCTGGGTGGTCATGGCCATCTTTAGACTATGTTGATCTCCTTTAGAAGAAGAGCTCCATATAAAGATATACAAAAATGAAATTTTAAAACTAAAATGTGTGATTTTTTTCTTTGCCAAATGATAGTTGACAGCTTAAGATATCATATCTAAAAAATATAAGTTATATCTAATGGTTAATTTGTTGACCCCCCAGCCTCCTTAAGCAGATCTAGAAGTTCATCAGATTTTGGCTCGAGTCTATTTGGAAAAATTTTTTACTTGTAGCAAATATAGAATGCTATGTTTGAAATGGAGTATAAAAAGTAATTTTACTGCTTCAAATAATTTCTTCAATAAACAGACACTGACACTAATTTTTCCATTGCAGTCATTATATTTCAACACAATAACAGCTGACTTAAGTCAAATTTGTGAAAAAAAATCACTCATATCATTTTAACATCGAAAACCTTTATAGCCTTTCTTATCCACAGGGATGACTTCTTATGTATTTAAACTTTTTGATACCTAACTGATTTCTGCTTTTCTCTACACCAAAGTGCTCAGGTTTGCGATTTTTCATAGTTGCTCATGGGCTTCGTGTTTATTTATTTTTTTTATTTTTTCACTTTAGTATGGCTAAATAGGCCTGATATTCTTCCAGTCCTTACCATGCTCATATTCATTCTGACTTGCAATTGGATTTCTCATTTGACATTCATATTTGAAACATAAAAATTAGTGAATCATAAAAAAAAATCGGCTTGAGATTACGTGTGGAAAATGTAAACCTAATAATAGGCAATATATATGCATATAATAAGAAAACTATTTAAGAAACACTATATTTAAAATTTCAGTTTCAAACTTGAGGTTACAGATAAATTTTAAGAAACATATATTGTTGTACTAAGGTTAGTAGTGTTGGATATTAGCTCACCTGAGCCCAATCTTAATTGTATATCTTCATATCTAAGCTTTAAAATTATGTTTATATGATATGACAGTATAAACGCAGGCTAAGTCCAGTGCTTGGCATTCTCATTTAGCTGTCTATAACTTAGTTAGAAATATTGCTCATATTATCAAAGATTCTTTTTGACCTGCTTATATATCAAAGATTCCTTTTGATATAAAGTTATGTCATGACCATGATCCAAGATCATCTGTGCAAGTTCAAGGTCACTGGTAGTAAAACTGTAGGATTCTTGTTTAATCCCTTACTTTGCAATAGAGAAACAGTTGAAACTCATATTTTGCACAAGAATTGCTAATGACCTTTTGGTGTATCAAGGGCTTCAACCAAGGTTATTTAAACAAGTTCTTCCTTCTGGAACAAGTCGATCCATGTGGACTATTACCTCCTGGTATTTCTTTTACTGTTTTTTATAGTCTTATCAATTATTACACATGTTATATATATTTATTCATTGGTTGTCTTATCAATTATTATATATATTTGTCTATTTGTTGTAAAAATTCTTTGTTTATACGTTTTATTGTAATAGAGTTAACAGATCTGAAGTTTACAGAACAGAGTTTACAGATCTCAAGTTATATCCACTTATACATGTGTTGTTTAATATATATATTTTTAAAGAGATCTACATAATTTTATTATTATTATATGCTGTAGTATTTAATGAAAGATATTCAAATTATATATACTTCTTCGTGTGTTGCAAAAATGCTTCTTAAGAAAAGTGTTCATTTTTTTGTGATAGTTTTTATAGATGTTCAAATTACATGTAACTTTATGCATGTACACTTGTACATGTGTCATAAAAATTCTTTTAAAAACATGTTCATTGTGATTGTGTTAATGTTTACAGATATTGAAATGGTTAAAAAAAAATGCAATAAAATGATTGAAAATTAATTCTTACTTTTTTTTTTTAACTTAAACTGGCAAAAGCACAACTAAGACATATATCATTATTGGGATAATGCTTACATATATTGAAAAGTTAAAAAAATGCAATAAAATTATTAAAAGTTAATTCTTACTTTTTTTTAACTTAAACTGGCAAAAGCACAAATAAAACATATATCATTATTGTGATAATGCTTACAGATATTGAAATGGTAAAAAAGCAATAAAATTTTTAAGAATTAATCCTTAATTTTTTAACTTACACTGGCAAAAACACAACTAAAACACCATCACAAGTGAAAAGGTCTTAAGAGGGCTGGGTGGTTGTGGCCATTTTCAGAGTATATTGATCTCCTTTAGAAGAAGAGCTCCATATTAAGATATACAAAAATGATCAAATTTTAAAACTAAAATGTATGATTTTTTTCTTTGCCAAATGAGAGTTGACAGCTTAAGATATCATATCTAAAAAAATAAGTTGTATCTGATGGTTAATTTGTTGACCCCCCAGCCTCCTTAATTTACTTTGTTCTGTGGAAGATGTGAACATGTAAACCATGACGTCTTTATTTTACCTCATCTTGACGTTTTGAAATTCCTGACTAATTCGTCTACGTCTTTAAAATATATCTGACTTTTTTTTAAAGAAACTTTTACGTAAAATTGATTTATTAAAACGCTGTTTTCTATATATTTCAATAGGAAAATGTAAAAATAGTACCAAAAACTACTACCGCGTTTACAGTAATATCGCATTAAAACCACGTAGGCAAATTTGAAAAAAAAAATACAGATAATTTGCTGCAAATTCTAAGGAACATTATATCAAATTTTCAGGATATGTTTCCTCGTAAAATTCTTTATGCAGTATTTAACCCGCGACCTACCTTAACAATAACAGAACCCGTGTCCTGTTTACGAACACAGATGTTTGACGTGATGTAAAAAAGAATGTCGTTGTCATTGAATTTTACATGTACGAATATTCATGTAAGTTCAATTCATTGAACTGAATTTATGTTTTGAATAAACATAGACATTTAAAATGCAAACAATGCAACTGTGTCCAGGCCCCTTTAAATTGCATCAATTGATAAGGTTTTATGATCTAGGCTTCACAGTGTCCAAGATATGCATTGAAGCATTTTGAAAATGAATCGCCACTAAATTTAAAGAGTAAATTACTGTTACTTTCATTTGGTTCATATTCTGAAGCCCCAAGATGCATCAATTGTAAAGAATTGATAATCATACGCTTTTAAGTATTAGATTACGTTCAAACGATAAGACATAGAACTAGAAACCTTGTTGCCATGGCAACAAGAAGGTCTTCCGTCCCTTCCCTCTCATCATTCACAGAGAAGCTTATTTCTCACTAAACAACATTTGCTATGTTGTGCATTCCCTGCAGTACCTTCATACATAAAATATAATTAAACGTTTATATTTTGAAATACTACAAAACAGGAATGGAAAAAAATAAGAGACATCATTTTAATTGATATTCTCACTCTGAATTGTACAAAATATAAAATTATGATAAACAAGATTTTTTTTAATTTAAGGATTATCTACAATGATTTGTTTTATTCTACCTGATTTCATGCATTTAATTACCCCCACCCCCTCCCCGAGTCAGCACTATACACGCATAACATATTGATTAACAATTTACTGATGTATCACGAGAAAGCATATTTTTTCACATACTGTTTCAAGTATACAGAATTTTTTTTATTGTGTTAATACACTATATATCATTAATTAGCAATACCTTTATTAGCTAAGCCGCTTTGAGCTCTTAATTATGACGGATCTTGCTCTGAACTAAATGTCATTGAAGTTTTTTTCCTCTCATTTGAAATTGCTATTTGTTATTCAATCAAGATGAGAAAATAATAAATTCTACCTTCAAAATATTATTTGACAAATCTCCAATTTGTGATTCAATTGCACAGGTACCTAGCTACATTTATATTTTCCTTGTTTTGTCATATGACAATTGCATGTATGCACATTAATTAGTGCTAAAAATCCAACTGCAAACTCTTTATGAAGGAGTAAAAAGACACACTGCTATTGAAGTCAAACACCACTGCTCTGACGTCGAACGACATACCCCCCCCCCCCCCCCCCCGCCCCCTTAACGATAAATCTTACATTTGAGCCCAAACAACAGTGTGAAAAGATTCGGACATTCTGGGGATTTAATCCGAGTCGCCCGCGTGAAAATTCAACACGCTAATCATTACACTATCAAAGACCATCGCTTCAAAGTAGTTAATATTATCTAGAGTACGCGTTAATAATTTTTTAAACAAATTACATATCCAGCATTTTGTTAAGACTCTATTTTTAACCTGTATTTATCAAAAAAAAAAAAAAAAAAAAAAAAAAGGTGGAAAAACTAAACTTTTAAATCACTTCCTTTGACAACCGGAAGTGGCGACGACACACGAAATGTTTCATCATACATCTACAATCACATTCTATCATACCTGAAAGTTTCAGACTCCTATTTTTAACAGTTTGAGAACATTCACGGACTAGATTTTTAGTGGAAAAAGTGAAAAATTGTAATAATTCCTGACCGGAAGTAATTTTTTCCAAACATTTTCAATATTTAAAAATGGCACGAGATAACACATTATTCCTGAAAATTTGGCTGAAAATCATCGGGTAGTTTTTGACATATCACGATTTGAAAAGGTCAAAAAAATAAAAATGAAAAATAATAATAAGAAGAAGAAACAGTAGACACTATGAGGTCTTCCGTGAAGACAGAAGACCTTAATAATAATCAAATCCAAAAGTAGGCTACTGTGATCTAAATATCAAAATTTTCAAGGTAAACTGATTCGAAATAAAGAGTCCAAGTGTTACTCCTCCAAGAAATGCAGATGAACAGACAGACAGAGTGTTCACCATATAATATGTCTGCAGTGATGCACAGGTGCATGATATAAAAACGATTGTATTATTAAAAAAAAGAAAGAAAGAAAGACACATTAATAAATTATGGATTTTGATGAGCCTAATTACGGATGAGATTTTTCTCCTCCATAGGGTGTTGCAACAGATGTTTACTTTTTAAATATTTTTCTGTCATATTTGTATGGACATCATTATTCCCCCATGGAAAAGAAATGATAAATAATAGCAATTAAAACGCCTTTATTTAAAATGTAGACCAAGAGGACTTTTAAAACAATATGGATCTGGTCATAGAATTAATTTGAAAGTACGTTATGTACAGTAAATTGTCCATAAAATTAAAAATGTGTTTTATTCAATATTATACATGGGAATTTGTTTATCAAGTATACAATGTCCCTCCCCTCCCTTAAAAAAGGGGATTTTTGTATTTTTAGCAAACAATGGCAAATATTGACAACGTGAGTCCCCCCCCCCCCCCACCAGCACACGCACACACACATTAGTATTAGAATTTTCTCTTTTGACTTAAAGTTCTTTTAAAAGACATTATATACTACCCTGATAAAAACAAACCGAGATTGACGACCAAATAGTTCAATTAAGTTCGTGTATTGTTTTAGAACTGCATAATACAGTAACATTTGTGCTGAAATTGCCAAAAATACTATAAAAACCACGTAATCGTCCACATGACATTGGATTATAATCACCAAATTTGTATTAAAATACAGACAGTACAAATTTTCAACAATAAAACATAAAAAAAATTTGTAATTGTTTTGCTTTTTTGTTGTTGTTGTAATTATAGCGCACGATTCATGTTACAGTAGTAATCACGAGTGACATTTCATGCCCACAAGAATTATTTGCACATCTGTTCTATATTCCTCATTTGTTTTAAATGTGAAAAAAATAAAAACACTCACGTAATAGAGTAATTTCCCCTTAAAAAGTGATGAATGATAATTCGCAATAGCATCAATTTAGAATATCGCCGGAAGGATGTATAAAATCCTTATAAATATATAAAATAGACTGCACATCATTTTTAAAAAAATTCTTTACGGTTAATATTCAAAATGGTTAAAATCTTCGCCACTGGACTGATCTTTTCTGTTGCCTTTGGTTGCAGTTGGATTCCAAAAGTAGATCAGGAGGATTTCTGCTTTGCAAAATATGGTTTGTAATTGTGATGCTTTAGTTGTATATGGATTTAGTGATATATTTCTTTTTTGTGTTTTTGTGTCTGCCTAGATCATCATAAATACATCCCTGGTTCACCATATTATTTCTTTCTCCTCAGCCAAAGTTTCTATTAAACTAAAACGTAAGAAACATCAGGCCCAAGGATGATGAAACAGACTTAGACCTGATTTTAAACTAATTTGTTAGATGTTTATAAATTGTCAACTTATTCTCTAAACTTGTAGATATTTATCTTTAAGAGCACTTTGGTAATGTAAATTAAATAATGTTTTTTGGACTGCTTGACCTCTACAAGTAGAGAATTAAGATTTGTGACTTTATAAAATTATTATTAACTTGCTTCATGATCGAAATGCCAGGTCTCTTTCTCTTGCCGGTCAAGGGCTACAAATGTAGACCTACAATTCCAAGCTTTTGGGTTTGAAGAAAAAGAAATCATCATTTGACCAAGTACTTTTCTCTATCGTAACATTGGCAAAAGAACTGACCATTTCACGCTCATCTAGGTTTGCGACCATGTGACTTTGATATTTGTATAATTATGCTCGTCATGATTCAAGGTCAAATATCCACTCTGCAGAGTCGAGATCATGGAGTTTGTGACAAAACATTCTTTCCTGTGTCTACATAAAAAGAGATATTTTATATTTCATATATGTAGATTGTTACTTGCATTTATTAAGTGGAATGTCAAGACCCTTACGCAATACCATATACATGTACATATATAAACAACGAAGGTCATTGTAAGAACTGACTGGGAAAGCCAAGGTCATTGTAAGAAGCCAAGGTCATTGTGAGAACTGACTCGGAAAGCAAAAGTCATTGTAAGAAATGAGTGGGAAAACCAAGGTCATTGTAAGAACTGATTGGGAAAGCCAAGGTCATTGTAAAAACGGAGTGGGAAAAACAAGGTCATAGTAAGAACTGGGTGGGAAAGCCAAGGTCATTGTAAGAACTGACTGGGAAAACCAAGGTCATTGTAAGAACTGAGTTGGAAAACCAAGGTCATTGTAAGAACTAAGTGGGAAAAAGTATTCGGTCCTTGTCTTTTGTACATTAGAATGACTTCTTCACAATTTATTTGTAATTGAATAGCTGTTTAAACATGAGTCAAGATAACACCTTCAAATAAAATGTCTTTTCACCTGCTCAAATTAAAAATTCAGAGATCAATTAACAATTAGCGAAATAACTCTTTAAATTTATTCCTTTCTTACAGCATTTAAAGCCAGTGTAAAGTCTGTAGAACAAGTTGATAAATACGCTGATTATACATACACAATCGACATCGAAGAAGATTACAAGGTTTGTACAATACGTTAATTATACATATACAATCGACATCGAAGAAGATTACAAGGTTTGTACAATACGTTAATTATACATATACAATTGACATCCTAGAAGATTGGAAGGTTTGTAGAATACGCTAATTATGCATATTCAATTGACATCTTAGAAGATTACAAGGTTTTGACAATATGCGTATTATACATATATACATTCGACAATCTTAGAAGATTGAAAGGTATGTATGTATAAGAAAATAAAATTAAAAAATCCACATCCTTAAAGATAACCGGGTATGTACAAGTAAATATTTAAATAAATCGACATCCTAGAAGATTACAAAGTTTGTGCAAGGAAATCAAAATCGAAGATTTTTTTTAAAACGATTTCTACAAATACAATGTTGACCGACGTATTTCATACAAATGTTTAGGCCATTATTTTCACACTGAATTGTCTACAGATTCTTTTCGTTTCCTCGATAATGACAATAAGCACACGGTGGGTGTGGCCTGTTGACAGGGAATGCTTACTCCTCCATGGCAACTGATCCCACCTCTGATGTTTTTGGAGGTCCATGTTTGCTCTGCCCAATTATTTTATTGCTTCAATGAACCTTTGAGCTTGATTACTGTTTCCTATCTTCATACTTCACTTACTTAATTTATAGTGTGTATTTTTGGAAGAGAGTAAAATTTGATTGGATATTCGGGCGAGTTGTAAAAACTGTTCTTTCTTCTCATCGAAATTCAACGAAAATTGGTTTAATATGCTATAAGTAAACAATTCTGATTGACTTGTTTTAGAGAATTTATAAATATAATAAATAAATAAAATATAATACTGTTTTGCTCTTTAGAACGCAAACAAAGCGAAGGGTAATTTTGACACTATAACTGGAGATGGACCAATGATGTCCTGTGGGCCACAGAAGCTGAAGATCGGGAAATCTTACCTGATTTATGGTAATTGCTTTTAAAGAAAAAATCTGAGGTCTGTAATAAGTAAGTAATTCAGTAGATCGGGGAGTCGCGTAATTTACGGTAATTACTTTAAACGAAAAAATCTGACATCTCTAATATAAGACTGACCAATGTATTTCCGAAATATTTCTGTATTTAGTAACAAAAGTAATAAGTTCTATATTCTTTTAATTACTATTTGAGTTTTCTCTTAAAATTATAAAGTTTAGTGTATTAACCAATGTAAAAATTATAATACTTTTAACACTGTTGATTTGATTCTTAACATGAATAGGTCTAATTTTCTGTAATTTTACGTCTTAGCCTAATGTAAAATAACAAAGTAAATATATGAAAATCCTTAAAATGTAAAAAAAAAATTACAGATGATCTTACAGTGTATTATATAATATCAATCGTCATCTTTAATAACCTAGCAGTCTATATTTTATAGCTGGTGTTCGCGACAATGAAGGGCTCTATATCGTCGAGTACAAAGGCATGGACAGCGTTAAAGCCAGTGATATAGAAAGAATGAAAACAAAATATGACTGTGATTGCAAGGTAATTTTTTAGACCTATTTTGAAAAAAAAATTATTGTAAGTGCCTCGTGTTTAAAATATCCAAACCTATCATTGTCAAATTAGACATACGTTTAAGAGCCTAACCCGGTGTATCTTGAGTTGGTTAAAAAAGTATTTGATATATAATTTGGTTTTGCTGTTATGTCTTTAAAAATGTGTTGAAGTGATACCCATAAACAAATAATTGGTTTACAGGAAAGAGGCTCAGTAATTCAAAGTTGTCTGGACCAATTTATGAGGAAAAAATAAGAAAATCATCCAATCCTTATAAATACAGACTTTAGACTTAACGGATTGTGATTGTGGTGTGCATTGATTTTACAGATAAAATTCGATTATGACAAGTTTATGTCAAGGACGTCAGCTGGTCTCCCCCCGCCCACTAAAGACGAATGTAATGTCACCGAGAATTACTGCCAGAGGAGTGCTTACTGTCAGAGAAATCAGGCGGGAGTCTGCACGTGGGGTAACCTGGGAGATTGCTACTAAATCAAGACTTTTTTTTTTATTTGTGATTATGATTTATTAGGAATTAAACGTGTGTTCAAGCACTCA